GTCGCCGTGGGGACTATCGTCAGGGCGGACTTCCAGCAACCACCTGGCGAGGTCGGAGTTGCTGGGGTGGAAGATGGAGATGAGAAGGGGTGATGGTGATGGGGGTGGTGGGGATTGAAGCCGAAACCTGCCGTTGCGACTAGTGTGGGACCCGAGGGTACTAGGGCAGAGGTGTACGCGAACCGGGCAGCGATGTCCAGCGTGAACAAAGCCAGTCACCGTGAACACTGCTACCTCATGTTGGCAGCGTGAGAGTTTCTCGCAAATAAACACTTGATAAAAAGAAAAAAAAAACGTGCTCAGATCTACCAACTGTACTCCACGACAGTACGATCTGGGGTACACCGAAACGTCAGGAAACACAACTCCAAAACACACAGACACACAGAAATTACGTGACAACTGAGAAAAACATCGTTTATCGTCTTTTTCACACCTATCACAATTCTTCAAAACGAATCCTTACAAAGAAACAGTTGCCTCTCTGTGTATGTGATCACTTCACGATATCCCCTCAGCGAATCTTAAAAATCTCCCAAGAAAAAAAGATTCTTGGAGTAAAAGAATTCCAGCGTTAATTCATTCGAAGGCGATGTTCAGTTATATCCACTTCACAACAATAAATATCGAAGTCACTTATGTAAACAATCGATTTAGATGTCTCCATAAAAGAATGATCTTCGACGAGAATTAAAAAAAAATTCCACACAACGATCACAGAACCACGGTAATAGCCCTCATTATTTCGGAATATAAATGACAGCCAATTACAGATGACGCGATTGGGTCAATTACACTTCGGAGGGGGAGGAGTGGGGGTGGAAATTGAAGAACGAAACTCGCGCTGTTTGCGTTCTGTTGACAGAGAAACAAAAGGAAAAATTTCGAACTGCCACGAAGTGTGTACTCTGTTTTAAAATAACAATCCGATTAAAATCTTCCTTAATAAAAAAACACAACACACACACACATGTCGTCCAATTTACCGCGGATTCAATCAGAAATTATGCTAGTATCTTTTCATTTACGTTTCCCTTTTAATATCTCTTCCTTCCTCACGTCAGCTTAAAAAAAAATATATTATTACGAACACAGACACAAGACGGAAAACGTCGTACCGACAAGACACCTCGAGATCGCCGTCGACGACAGAGTTAAATCGTCAGTGTCCGCTGAGCGGTTGCCACGCACTTAACGAGAGTAACTTCCGTCTTCCACGGCTGCCAAGATAACACTACTCACACGACCTCACTTCTCGGTCCCCCCGCACAGGTAGCGCCACCGTCCAAACAGAGGAGGGGCCTCTGACGTCATCGACGTAACCCCGCCTCAAATCCGTGACGTTGTCTCACATCATTGGCTGAAACGATTCATTATGATTGGTCGATATGGTTTTGATAATCTCCGCCCACTCCTGAAGGAGGCTGGTGCCTTTTATAGACTTGCTGGCTGCTAAGGCGGGAACGCTGAGAGAATATTTATGTATGAGAGATCCTAACAGAAAAGGTTTTGGGGTTGCAGGCGGTAGGACCGAAACGTAGTGTTTAATTTTCATATCTGCAGGACGAAGTCTTCACAATATTCACCTGAACCGCGTGTATCTTAAAATATTTCGTGCAGTGAGATAATAATAATAATTTATTTATATTCAATGGATCCATAAGAGAGTTAGATGACAATAGAATGTAGAAAAAGTCATAATAATAATAATAATAATAATAATAATAATAATAATACAATATATATTATATAAATTTCACATAATACAAAACAAAGTATTCACCTAGAGAAATTATAAGCTACAAATAGATCTAGAGGTTTTCAAGGCGGCGAGTATAAAGATGGCGGTCTTCCGGTGTGTTGTTGCATGCTGCCTCAACTTTCGTCCTGATGATGGAAGCAGCAAGAACTCTAAAACGTCGGTAAACGTTTGCCAGATTACGTAGGTAACAGACAGCTAATACAATTTTATGAATTCTGTATTTTATTTGTATTTTGTTGTTGCGTGAATTTAATATTTTAAAAATGAGAAGTTCCCAGCTCCCAGTAGGAAGTGGTTTAGTCGTTATTTCTTGACTCATGTCGGGAAAACTCCGTAGCGCTCGGCCGGCGAGTCATTCAGTCTTACGCGGGAAACGGACAGATGCGTTTAACTTTATCAGTAAACGGACCGCACGTTCACAAAGAAATCAGGAGCAGATTAGGTTTAAAATACGCGTACCTAATTCTTGCTAGCACCCAGCAAGTTTTGTATTTGGGTTCTCACGTAGAATTTGAAGACTGCAATAAGTTTTAAAAAAGAAAACTTTATTTAGAATTAGCCTTGCGAAATATTCAAAAATTTCAGAAAAACCCAGTATCTGCCTAGTCTAATCTGTTGTCATATTAAATATTTGGTGATATTTCAGATTCTCACGGTAACACTTAAGAATTTGACCGGTTTTAATGACGTTGCCATGTAATATGGTAGAAACTGACCGACGTTTCGGATGTGTTTACTACCTACATCATCAGGGTATCAGCTAATTTCAGACTAGAACATACACCTTAGACGACAGCCAACTTCATACGTGACACCTCCACTCTGTTTTGAAGTCCATGATAAACCAAACTGACTGTGGTTTACCTAATCAAGAAATCAATGCCCGGTTCTTTCTAACATCTGGACCCATCACATCAGTGCACATGTACTGTGATTTTTAGCATCTGCGAGGCCAGTGTGGTCCAGCGATTTCTTGTTTCGAAGCATCAGACTGTCTGCCCCTAAAGAATATATTATGAACGAGAAAAATATCGATATTTTTCGATTACTGACAGCTGTTATCGGTAACATAAACGAATAAAGATACAGAGATAAAGAGAGAGAGAGTAAAGATAGGGAGATAAAGCAGTGATAAGAGCAACGAACGAGGAAGTTTGTACAAACGTTTAAAAATAAATGAGGTCAGTAACAGAGATGGTTTAAGGAAATGCGCGTACACTGAATTCTGTGACTCGCGGGTGGGCTTCAATTTCAAAGGGTTCATAGGAGCCCCTCGGCGATTGCGAGTGCACCCACAGCGAGTCTCGGAAGAAAGAGAATGCGAGTCGCTGAGCCAAATGATTGGAACATTTCCTGTCGAAATCCGTGCCGCGTTGTTAGCGGAAATGTTAATTTATAGTCGGACGTTTCATCGTGACTACGTTCAATTCGTACGGCTCTGTACAAGGAGTTCCATCGACTAATTTTCTCTGTTCCTTCGCTTGTGTTGACCCAGTTTGTACAAATAATGTTTAATGCGGTGGATCACGGTGAAGTGTGGGTCCTTGAACGCTCGGATCGAAACCCAGTCGAGGCACGGAAGTCTATACGCGTTTTATCTGCGTTGTGCCCTTCGTTGCTTTGAAAGGGTTGAACCCCGATATACGAATCCTAAACGATTATCGATGAAATAGATCGATTGTTAATTTTTGAGAGTGGTTATGAACTGGAGCGGGACAATGCACAGACTGTGAAACCTAGAAGTAGAAAGTTAATTAATTAAACACGTAAGACATTCACCGAAATTAGCAGAAAGTCACTTGGACAATTTTTGAATCCCACAATTATTTTTAATCAAATTTCTCGACTGCGAATAAAAATTAAATAAAATGTAGAGATTTTGAACATTGTAAATTTTTGTAGTTTAAATGCGTCATGTTTGTGCTTAATTCAGTAATATATTTATTTATTTCCGTCAGTACACAAACTTAGTAGTTAAAATTGGTGTTATTAAAGCTAAAACTTTAAAATTTTAAAATTTGGCGCTTATCATCGCTATTACGATGTTACAATTTTAGCGCTCATTATTTTATTTCACTCAATATTTTTCGTTTTAAATTTAAAAATTGGTATACGCAAGTTTTTTGACTGTTATTATATTTGTAGTTTAATGAGCGCTTAAATTGTAACATCGTAATAGCGATGATAAGCGCCAAATTTTAAAATTTTAAAGTTTTAGCTTTAATAACACCAATTTTAACAATTAAGTTTGTGTACTGACGGAAATAAATAAATATATTATTGTAAATTTTATTAAACAAATAGAGTTCCTTGCCCTAGTTAGAGTTTGCTATCCGTTCATACATTTCACTTAGTTTTGGTACTTATGAATCACCTTATTTATAACAGAATTTTAAATCCACCAAAACCAATAAGAATAAATTTTAAATGAGTGCAGGAAACAATTAAAGTGGAATAAATGCAAGATTTTTGTCAAATATTTCTAATTCACTCTTCACTTTTCTTAACAATTTTTCTGCTGTTCTTGCAAAATACTTTTCCAAACCACAATTTTTTTTTCTCGATATTTCGCATTTGAGACAAAAAATTTCTTCTACCGGGAATCGGACCCCAGTACTCCGTGAAATAGCTGAGTCACATCGAATCTGGCATTATTTTGCTCGATAATCAGATCGAAATAAATGACGCACTCAAATTTAATGAATATATTGATGGCTAGCATAGTAACTTTTATGAAAACAGAACATGGATTAGAAATGAAGTTCTGTTTATGCGGGTTACCCTGACGATCGAGGCAGTAAGCTTATTTAAAATATCAGTCAATTTCTATCAGACTATCCGACGCGCAACATCCTAGAGGACGGTCACCTCCAGACCTTAATTACCATAAGCAGTTGTCGAAGCAGCAGGAAAGGTAGGAATAAATAAGCACCATGCCAGAAGGAGTGGAGGTGTAGGTTTATAACTTGTGTTGGGCAAGGCCGTGGTCTAGGCAACACGGAGTTTTCCTCTGTGGCATCCCAACAATTACTCCATTCACACACAGAAGAAGGCAATGGCAAACCACTTCTGGATCATCTGCCAAGAACGTATATGAACAGGTCCCAGTCCGAGAAAAGGATGGAAGGATCCTGTTCATATGGACCCGTCGTCAGACAGAACACTAAATAAAAAAAATAAAATGTTTTAACCCCGAGGATAGCACCACAGTACTCACTAGATCAGTGGTATTCAACCTGGGGTACGCGAAGACATCTTAGGGAATACGTGAAATTTAAAAAAAATATTATTTTATGATAAACAATGAATAATCAGTAACGTAATTTATTTAATTTATTTTAGATGTAGATTATATACTACGTATAACTTAAATTATACACCAACAACTTTGGGGGTACAAAGTTTAAGAGAAATTATATCTGAGGCTACGCGAACAAGAAAGGTTGAATACCACTGGTTTATAGGAGGATGTAAATTGTGCCCAGAGCCGGCCTGGATGTTGATAGCGAAGAAAAGTAACCCGATGGTGAGAATCGAAGTCGGTCCGTCAGCGCGTGTCCAGTCATTATAACCAAACTATTGAAATCCCACCAACGACGCTCGTAATGCCTGTTCACTGCAGCTCCAGTCGCAACCCTCAGACGTTGTAGAAACAAGAGGTCTCGTTAGCATCGACCGCCCAACCCTCGTCATCTCCGTAGAAGCAATAAATGTCTTTATTACACGCCAATAATTCCACCCATAGCCCAGAACTAACCTCGTGGCTAGACCAGGATTCCTCTCTCCTATACATTTGTTTGTTAATTAGTGTTGAAAACTTCAACATGCAAATCCAGTGCTTGGGTCGGATTCTTTCACAAAAGAATCGAACCGGAAATGAGAAGGACCACCTGAAGAGCTTCGTGGCGCAAAACCGACTTAAGTTACACGCTGTTCCATTGCTTGGAAACCGTGTATAAGAAATTAAACGATTACTTCCACTGTCTATCTGAGCGAAGAATTGACTCGACCTTGAAGCCATGACGTCATGCTGAATACTGTAGTAAAAACATTACCCCTTACTAAAAATGTCTCCATTACCGAAGAAATCTGCGTGATATCTGACACCTTGTGTGCGTTACCAGCGACTCTACTAATATATTATACTAAATTGCGTACAAATTATGAGTAAGAAAAACACAAATATGAGATTATGCACCATATAACTACAAAACTAACGGAGAACTTAGTCAACTGATGTTTCTATGCCGCGTATTAGAAAAGTAGATAAGTACTTCTGTTCATAGACAATGTTTTCATGTCGACATGAAGTGAAATATTTTGGATGTGTATCAATATTTCAAATAAAATGACGCAAAATCCAAAAAAAAACAGTTATTTTGCTACCAGTTCGTGTTCTTTGCATAATTCCTTCACTTCGTTGGTTTTCTACACAGAGCCAAATGAATTCAGTCCACAAATTTATGTCCTATTTATATAAGGTCCATTTTAATATTATTATTATATTTGCGACATATTGTGAATTAGGTTAATATTTTAATATTTTCCGTCAAATCACAATTTTAATAAGATAATAAAATATTTAAAATATCATTTCACGTTCCGCATCGAATGATCGATTTACAAATTGGAACGTCTCTTATTAATATTATTATTCTCCAATTTATACAAAGGTCTACAAATTTATCTCTTTATTTCATGTAGAAAGACTAGAATTTTTACGTATCCGTGCCACGTGTCCTGTAAATTCCACTCCCTTTATTTGATTAACCCAATATTTACCGAGAAGTAATCTACGATTTAATGACGAAGGTAGTCTAAATATTATTTAATAACCCAATTCGCGGTTCTGTAGCTTTCATACAAGTCACTGTGATAAAAGATACGGACAGAATACATCAAAATCTTACGCGTTTTCTTATCAGTTACTTGTCGGCTCCCCTACGAACACATCCTCAGGTATAGAGACTTACCGGCTGGTGTACTTAAGTCGATGTTCCCCGGATCTGTGCCTCGTCAGGCTAAGACGCCGCCATGTTGCTCCGCCTAGTGGCGCCAGCACTGAAAATCCACCTCCGGGGTTGTGGCATTGTCTTGGCTTTTCTGTGGTCCTTCTATAAAAAAAAATAACGCACTTTTAAAGTGAGCTTCATTCATCTCGATGAAAAAGCACATAATGGATCATCAGCTTGTCTGTGGGTCCTGTCTTCAGTAATGACAGACGTAAGCGACGAGGCTCCTTCCTGCATTGGAACGTAGCAAACTCGACCCTTCTGTGTCCACAATTAGTGGCCAGTGGTTACAAATATTTCAAACCTGGAGGCCAGGAGAAGACATTAATTCCGGAATATAAATATACTAAAACCTCTTTACAACAAAACTTAAACAGCGTGTGTTTTTTTTTCAGAGGTGTTTGAACTTAACCTAAATATGTCTACTTGCTCAATTTTATCAGTCTAATCACAATAAAATATTATTATTAAATATTAAAATATTATTACAATTAACATTTAAATATTTAAAATATATTAAAATGATGATTATGATTAGACTGATAAAATTGAGCAAGTATATATTCAACACAATAATGACGCAACATTATCATCTCCTGAATATGTCTTTTAAATTCAGTTCTGCCCACAGAAAGGATTTCGCATATTTCATGTCGCTTGTAAGGACAGCGAAGTACAGAATATATACAATTTTTAAAGTAAAATATTTTAATTTTAATTCTTTAATATCTTTTAATTATAAAAAGTTCAATCCATTCTATGACAAGAAATGTATTTAAATAAAAACCAACATATAAATCCTAACAAAAGTATGACTACTTTTAAAGCTACCTACACAAAAAATAGGCTTACTGAACAGCGCACACGAATGTATTCAAGTAAGCCTAATTAATTTATCATTAAAATTAAAAATCAGAAGTTCTTTATGGGCTAACGAGTAAAATACTTGTCAGTGCTATCCATTTCTTTCAGTCTGTTCATCGTTTCCCCTTTTGGGGCAAAAGCCCACCGCGGTCACGTGCCCACGACGACTATAGACTCTATCACCCCCTCCAATTTGTGACAAGAGACGTCACTTCACGCGTTAACTCCGTGAAACATTTCCACGATATTAGAATATATCGAGAACCAATAAATATTCAAAGAGTCTGCCTCCGTTAACCGGACAAGATAAAATTTCTGATAAAGACAACTTTCTACTTAATCCGTGTCCAGTTTCCGACAAATCCAGCTATAAGACTAACAAGACACTTATTATTAACTCTGTGTGTCATTTTATTTATTTATTTAGTATTCTGTCTGACGACAGGTCCATATGAACAGGATCCTTCCGTCCTTTTCTCGGACTGGGACCTGTTCATATACGTTCTTGGCAGATGATCCAGAAGTGGTTTGCCATTGCCTTCTTCTGTGTGTGAATGGAGTAATTGTTGGGATGCCACGGAGGAAAACTCCGTGTTGCCTAGACCACGGCCTTGCCCAACACAAGTTATAAATTCGGGAACCGCCGGGAATCGAACCCGGGACCCCAGGATTCTGTGTGTCATAAGCAATCACAATTCTCTCTTGTCTACAAAGCGTAATCATAGCAGTCACCCGTTGAGTAGCCCTAATTTGGATGTATTAACTACCCCTGTGCTCTCTTATTTGGGGGAGATTGACTCTATGTCACAGGCCTTCTTTATACCACGTTGATTCTCACTACTCACCAATCTTACCCTGATTTGTTATTTTCAAACCTAAAACCAGTGCAATTGCACACGTTCCATTCTTGCGCTAAAGAAACGCATTATAACAGGGCTAAAAAAAAATACGAGGTCAGAAATATAAACTTTTAATAATACAGGCCCTCGCTAGGGAATTGTCTACATTTGTGGTTTGGGTTTTTTTTTTAGCGAATATTTTTGATGTGTCATTGTAATAACCTGGCCGGCTGTTTCAGAAGACAGCGACTTCTCTGCAGTTCACTGGCTGATCACATTTCTATATTATTACTACCGTCTGCTAGAGTTTCAATGTTCCTATAGCAACCGACTCAGAGCACTAACAGAAAGCCAAATTCTGGTTCTACTCAACCGCGTCGATTGACTCTCGTGAAATATCGGATGAAGACTTGTGAATTGGAAAAGATGTGTAAGGAAGCGGTCGTGGCTTACTTGATAAACCTATCTATAAGAATAACCTAACACATCCACATTTTATATTCGTTGATAATCGAAACATATTTTGGAAGTAACAATCATTTATTTATAATGAAAACGTTACGTATTGTATGTCAAATATTTATAATTATCAATAATTATATAATTATGAATTCTATACGAAATTTAATTAACTTAGCCTACGTTTATCAGACATAAATGGAGCTGTGGTCTGAGGCCCTGACAGCGGTGGGGACATCAGACGTGGTCTTCTGGGTTGTGACGCGTCGTAGCCTATTTCACCAACCGGCGTCACAACCCAGACGACAACAGTCGACGGACATGAATGGAAGTCAGTTAAGACGGCCTGACGGAACACGACATATGCCGAACAGAGATGAAAGTACATAAGAAGACACGAATACAAAAACTAAACTCCATCCGCGAATCTGTAACAAATGCAAAATAGCGGAAAATAGGGTACACGTTCTATTCTGTAAAAAAAAAACCACCAGACCAGACGTAAATAGCGACCGAGAGGATAAAAGAAACACTGGTCCGTACAGATCGGCAGAGATGTTAGGCTCCCCTAAGAGCGTTGTACTACTGACCGTCGTCCTTGTTTCAGACCACCGAGCTTAACCCTTTGAAGCACTACCTCTTTTAACAAATAAATAACTCTGCGTTTTGTATTTATAAACTATATTGTGTATGATATTCTCACTGAGAATAGCGAATATTTCCATAAACAACGCCAACAAGTTAAATTTGCAACGGTAAAGTTTTGTGTTTACCTTGCGGTACGGACTGGATTATTAAATAATATTTATACGAACTGAAACTTCAGAGGGGTAAGGATCAAGATTTAGCCTAAAGATGAACTGTCTTTCCAGCGTTATGATCATCATTATCACCACTGTCATCGTTATCACACACATCACCAACAAATTCTGTCAAGGATCAAGCTGTCGCCCGTACCAGCATCTTCTTATTCCTCTCCGTAGTAACTCTCGACTGATAATTCGATTTCTCTTTGTAATGACTAAGTTTCTTTTCAAAACACTACATTTTTATCAGACACGGTCGCATCCCCGCGGATCTCATATTAGAGTGTCTTTGTCTGTCATCACGTTTAACAAATTCAGGATCGGATAAACAGATTTTAATAAAACTGCATATTAAATAATTTGTGAAAAACTTCCCAGCTATTCAAATACTCAAAACATCGCATAATTTTAACGAACATTTTACATGCGAACATGAAAACATAATCTCTTCACAACAGGTCCTTCTGCATAGTCTAAAAAAACAAAGGAATTATCTCCACAAACCTTTAGATTTCGACTAATCTAGGCAAGTTTATAAAATACAAACTCAGATTTTCCTTGAAGGAAATGAGGAAAATACATTAAAATAACCGCGGACAATTTGTTGGGGGCCCTGTGGGTCGGCACTCAGACAAGTTTATTCTTCCTGGAACACTGCATGCAGCTACTGAAGGCTAACTGGAGACAGTGGGTAAGTAATCACGTGTTCATTACCCGGTTGATTTTTCAAACTGTCCAACATAAGCGTAAATTTCAGACTCCCCCAGTGTAAAATCACCAGACTTTGCATTTATACAATTGGAGTCCAAGTCTAAATACTCTTAACTGCATAAATGAGTGGAGGGTAATTATTAGCTTGAGGCTCCGGCCGCTTTAAACTGAAGGAAATGCCCTGGTAAACAGTTGAAAGCTAATCCGGGCTGCATAGTCAGTCTACACATAATTCGAAGCGAAAAATTAATACCTCAAACCAAGCCAGCTAGACCTATATAGCCACTTTGAATTCTGACTGATTTGTCTCAATATATAAGTCTCCCGCCATTTACTGGTAAAATAGTTTTATATTTATTTATTTAATGTTCTGTCTGACGACAGGTCCATATGAACAGGATCCTTCCATCCTTTTCTCGGACTGGGACCTGTTCATATACGTTCTTGGCTGATGATCCAGAAGTGGTTTGCCATTGCCTTCTTCTGTGTGTGAATGGAGTAATTGTTGGGATGCCACGGAGAAACCGGGGAAGCCCCCGGAGGAAAACTCCGTGTTGCCTAGACCACGGCCTTGCCCAACACAAGTTATAAATGCGAACCCGAGACCCCAGGATTACAAGACCAGCGTTAGCAATCAACTAGCTTGATCGTATTTCAGTGGGACCTATTACAGAACTCATTTGATGATAACCACAGCAACATGAATGACCTATATTTGAAAGTGGGCTGATTTCACTGGCTTCTGATAGGACAAAGTGTTTCACTATGCATTTATTGTGCCGTCCGCAGAACGTAAAGTTTTGCAAAAAAAAAACAAAAACATTCCATCTTATTAATATACTGCCTTTAATCCTGATTATACTTCGGCGTACAAGGATTAAATAACTTAAAACAATTACAACATCTTGGACGAAACGAGAACATCGTTTGAGACCTCAGGTTCTTAATGCAGTGAAGATTTTGATGCTGGGATTCTGTCTTGTAACGCACTGCGAACTTGTGTAGATGCACGGCTGTATGAGAGTATTCTGCTTGAAGCCACTTTCACGATAAAAAGAATTCATCTGGACCAATGTCACGAATTTATGTACTTCTCCAGATGCTGGTACGTCACGTTTCTTTACCCGCTTTCAAGTAAATTACCACAGACAGTGGCGGCTTCAAAGAAAAACCGAACTCTAATTCACGTTCCTTAAAAGGCCGTTTGAAATTCGCATTCCATAAAAAAGAGACGGCTTTGAAGTGACGGTGAAGCCTAATCCTTTTAGGTCAGAATACAAAACAAGTATGGCCTACCATCAGCTTATCGTCCTTTGCCAAAGAATATCGTGCGTGACGCCACTGAGACCACAGGCCAACCGGTCACACGCTCCAATATGGACCAGAACATCTCTTAGCAACGTGACTTCAACAGGATTGAGGC